GTAGGGAGAATAGTACATACCACCATAAAGAATATAAGACTGCATTTGTTTGTCATTACATGATAGTGAAGCTTCCCTTAACCTTTCTTGTTGTTCTCTGCTTTTGACGAAAGGATTAGAATGACCATAGGTCATTGCTGCCTGAGAGAGCTGCTGTGCTGCCTCTTGTGCTCCTTTTCTGGTTGAGCAAAAAACTAGAGCAGATTTTCCTCTAGAATGTTGCATGAGAATATCTGTACAAGTCCTCATGCTTAGCACTAGAAAATGTGTAGAACATGGTAAAGGAGTAGTGAAAATAGGAGGTATATGATGTCCCAACTAGCTTCTTATGCTTACCAAAGACATAGTTCTGTAAGCGCTGGAAAAGAAAAACAACAGTATCATCAGGACAATAAGAGGTATTTCAAGGTGTAATAATGAAATCTCTTGCCATCCCTTAAAAACGATTCTTAAATTTGACAAAGCAAGACATGAAATTGGATAGGTGGGAGGGAGGAGACATCCAAAACTTTTATTCAATGAAAGGAGTGATAAGACGCCTAAACAGAAACCTGAAAAAGAAAAGCCAACAAACAACATACCTTTTCAAATAGGAAGTCATTCTTTGCCGGAGTGTATCCTGCAGACAAAGGGTTGGCAATGCAGAACTCAATAAAAGACAAGGCAGCGGTTACTCCGGAGAAACATGTCAATGCACTTCCGACAGAGGCGCTTAATGCATTTCATAGGCATTATAGTGACATGTATGATTCAGATTGCTCAATGTACTTCCCCATAATTTTATCAGAAAGTACCCTCTTTCCAATAAAATACTTTGTCACTTACTTGGCATTTGGTTCACAAAATCCAACTCAAAGAACTAACTGAGACCAGCTTTAATATTCCTGTTCGAACTCAGTTTTACACTTCCATTTTTTTAGTTTTACACTTTCTGATATTATACTCAAATTCTCAATTAACCTTCCAAACTAATACCAAGCAATACGGATTTTAGTTATCTAGATTTTAAAACTGTGAAAAGTCAAACAATGACATTTAATCTGAAATACAGGTTAAGCACAAACTGTTTCGACTCAATGAGTTAGGGTGTAACCAGGACTGAATCAAATAGAACATCAGTCGTAAGGATTAGTAAATACCAAAAACTTTTGTAGTCAACTTCACGGGTCTCATTTCTTCTCCAAACCTGCATATTGTACAGAGTCATATGGAATTAATACGAGTATTCTTTGAGCAATAAGAACGACTGAAAGATGCCATATACATTGAATTCTACCTTTTTACTCCTTGCGGGGGAACCATGAGCCACTCCGCTGCACAAAGAGATAGCTAAGTCAACTACTACATCAGCGATTATCATGAAAGGGTGGCTTGTTTGAACTCTCTTGAAATTTACCAAGGTCATCAACGTTGGGAATGGTTGCAGAAACAGCTATAAGACGGACATTAGCTAGAGCACTTGATTTCAGTTCAGGTTTGCGCGAAAGCATTTTAATTCTACTGACAATTGCCTCTAGAGCTGCTCCACGAGTATCATTCAACAAATGGACTTCATCAATTAGCATCAATGCAATGTCACCAAAAAAGCTCAGGCCTCCATCTTTTATGCGATAACGAGTCACAGCATCAAACTTCTGCAGAAAAAAAGCAAATTCAAAGACAAATACATAGTTAGCAAAGACACAACAAAACAAAGTCATGGCTGGTTTTCATCTATAGTCTGACCTCAGGAGTGGTAAGAACTACGTCAGCATCCTGTATATCCTTGATGTTGTAGTACTCATTGTCCCCAGTCAGTTCCAAGCAGTTTATCCCCCATGAGCCAAGCTTTTGGTTCCAATTGCGAAGCTTCTCTTGTACCAAAGCTTTTGAGGGTGAAACATATATCTGTATATCAGACGAAAAAAGGAGGTTGCAGTATGGTTAAATGACTAAAATATGCTGAAAATTTCAAATGGCCACATAATCTTCTTCGCACGGGCTGGAGTTGGCAATAGTGGCAAAAATCATTGAGAATATCCTGACTGACATATGCAACTATAAACATAAATCAACAGGATGCAACTTGTAAGTAGGAATGACCAATAAAACGTGATGTATTGAGGTGCACTAATTCTTTCATGCCAAAAGATGATCCTCTTGGTGCTTGTATATGCTAGATAAAAGTAGTAGCAAAAAGAGAATCTAAAATAAGTAATTGAGGATCTTTTGAGCTGGAAGTATGAAGTAAAATAGACAAGGCATGCAGTTAAGACATCACAAATTGAAAGTATTCCAGCACGTTGAGTTCTTTCTTTCAATAGATCCTTCTCATTGAAATTACAAATTCAGCCATCTTACGCTAAACATTGATAGAGACTTACAGTCTTCAGAGACCCCTTTATGTGAATAAATTTTCCCTCTCCTGAGATAAACCTTGAGAGAAGCCTCAAAATGCATAGTTCAAAAAGCACTGTTTTTCCACTTCCAGTTGGTGCCGAGATTACCATGTTCATATCCGATAGGAAACAAGCTGAAAAGCATTCGCTCTGCAGCGAGTTAAAGTATCTGCATGTAGATAGAACAGTATTTAAAACCTTACAAACAAATTAGGGATACTAAAGAATGTAATACAGTAATAGCATAGCGCAGATGTGAAGCTGCTGATCAAACAGCCATCTCGACTTTGACTTGTGACCAAGAGCAAACGAAAAGAGTCAGCAGCATTGAGACATTTCTAGGAGTCTGGAAACAGTATTCAAGCTTCGTGGCTAGTCTATGTATAAAGCTTCTTAAATGATTTATGTTACACTATAACTACTATGTCTCAACCCTAAACTAGTTGCGGTCTGTTATATGTTTCCTCTCTCTCTCTCTCTCTCTCTCTCTCTCTCTCTCTCTCTCTATATATATATATATATATATATATATATATACATACATACATACACACACACACTCAACTATTTTTTAAAACAAAGTACTGGTTCTCTAATAGATGTTCTCTATATCTCACATTTATCCCTACACTTAGTCACTTACATACAAATTTCAGGTGATGCCTAAAACGCAATACGAGAGTATATAATTTCTTCATTTCAAGGATTCCAGTACAGTAAGAGCACTTGAGCATTCAATCACAGTGCTGACAAACAGAAGCCTTAAGAAATTTACACAAAATATCTCAGCAAAACAAAAAATTAAAGTTTTATAGCAATCGAGTAGAAAAAAGTGCATAGAATAGTACCTGAAACTGAAAGTTGAACGGAATAGAGGAGGCAAGTCCATCACAGACCTAAGTGCGTAGCCATCCATGATCATCGAATTTGAAATTCAAATCAAACTGTTATCACAACTTCAAATGGAAATCAGAATTCGATAGTAGAAGTTACAACAAACTGAACCGACTACTACTACTACTCTATTAGGCATTAACTATTATAACCAGGGGCGGCTCTAAGGCTAGGCCAGTGCGTTGGGCTCCAAAAATTTGAAGGCCCCAAATTTACTTTAAACTCTTATTATTAATATTATTATTATTATTATTATTATATACTATATAATTTATATAAATAATTATTATTGTATAAAGAAAAGTATTACAGTATTTTTTTATTATTATTTGATTGAGGTTATTTTATACCAATAAATTTATAAATTATGATAATTTTCTCACTTATTAATTAGTATATTTGCTTCACTTTTCAATTTTAATTTTATCCTTTTTATAGGAATTCAGTTATCTACATTGACAACATAATGAATTTCTTTTACAATCTTCTCTAAAACTATTACATGAACACAAAAGCATTCAAGCACCGATTTTCTTTTTATTGTAATTCAACTTATAATAGGTTATTTATAATTTATTTTAGATATTCACCAATAAGTGCTACTAATTAATAGAATGATCTATAATTATCCTTTAAATTGATCAGAAGGAGTAAATATTCTTGACACTGTCAATACTCAAAACTTAAGTTATTACGTTATGTACCTTTATTTCTATTTCTTGATTGTGATGATAGCCAAGTCAAATTTTTTACTTTGAGTTCTGGACTTCAACTTCCGATAATCTATCACTTTATTCTTCGTGCTCATCTTTCTAATTTTTTTTTTTAAAATTTGCTATTTTTTATCTTAAATGATTAATTTGTTTAGAAGCAAATTTGTTGTTAGTGTAAAATATTTATAAAATAATTTAAGAGCCTCTCAATATGGTTTCGTCTTAGGCCACAAGATCCGTTGAGCCGTCCCTGATTATATAGATCCAAATTAACATAAAGTAAACTCAATAATCTGCAACAAGTACCGTTGAAACAACTTCAACTTCGAGCTTAACCTGTAACAATGGAGCTCGATAAGTACGGGGTGATTATCATCGAAGAATGAAGAAGAAGATAGAAAAATTTAGATGAGATGAGAGAGAAGAAGAATCGAGAAACTGGGAGAGAGAATTACAGAAGAGCAGGAGGAAGGAGGAAGGAGAGCATACCAGAATTCATTCACGCTTTTTCCGTGTATATATATGTTTTACTGGGCTAATCTGGACCGTCACTTTCTCTTGATCTCGTCCTTACACGTGTAATATAACAACCACCTCAATTAGTCGTTAACTTTGAATTACCCGCTAATCTCATTCAGCCGAACGGCGTCGCTTCCTTTTATTATTTTAACAACTATGTCGTTCTTTTCTTTTCAAACTTCATCTTATCTTTGAGGAAACTTAACTAAATCATCTCTCTAATAATAAATGGAGACAGGATTTCTTTTTAGTTTTACTGTTAGCTCAAACTGCTAGCCACGGAGAGTGAGTTCCTAAAGCAATTTCAGAATCATATAACACCAACATCAACTAATTTGGAATTGAACGTAGGTGTTGATTTAATATAGTGGAGTATCAGTTCGTGTTAGTTATTAAAACACCTCAAACCTATATATATGCCCTTGCAAAGAAATCATTTTATTGGACGTATACACATGCAATGTAAAAAAATACTTGTATATGTTAACTTGTAGTAACAAGTAACTTGCTTCGTTTTCCAAGTTACTGATCTCACTTTTTATGAACTATTATATGAAGATCTCTTGTAGGTGACCTAATAATGTAACAAAAATTTTACACTTTCAATGTATAGAAGTTACACACATTAAGACGAGCATAGTTTCGGCAACCAGTCTCCATTATCCTCCAAAATTTGCCACCGCTTATAGACATTTGCAAGTAACCAGTGTTCCTGTGTCAAATCATTATCTTTCCGGGAAGTAGGAGTATTATGGAAGTATACAAATGACGGAATAATCAATGGATTATATCATATTGACCGAGATGAGCTTAGAAGGAGTGATATGGACAATGATGATTCATATAGTAACTCCAACTTGCTTGGGATTGAGGCGTCGTTGTTGTTGTATGGAATAATCAATGAATATTAATCCAAAGAGCCTTTGTCAATGGCGGAAAAGGTCAAAAAGTAGACTTATACAATGTCTACAGCAAGCTATAACTAGTCGGAATGAGTCATTCTTTCCTTTTTGTTTACATTGCCAACTTCACTTTCCAACTTATCAGCCCTTCCTTGTTTTTTGGTGGCGGTAGAAAGAAAGCTCTTAACCACTAGGTGAAGGAATTGAGATTAGTGAAGAGAGAGCTTTTCCTACTTGAATCCATCTCATGACATCTAAGGAAACTGCGTTCTTTAGAAAAGAACCAATATGTCAGTAAGTCAGTTTCACTTTACCAAATTACAGTGTCAGGCAGGCATTTATGCAGCAATGGTTCAAAACCTTTTGCTCCACGAGATAATTTATTCACTCAATTTTCTGGGAATGGACCTCTGTTCTGAAACTGGCTTCAATTAACTGCCCTTCAAAATATGGAGCAATCTATATAAGCTGCATTTCTGACCTCATTAGATCCAAAACCTCGTAAATCTCTGTGGACTCATTGTGAGAACCATCCTGGGAATAAAATGAATGGAGTTGGTTTCTCACTTCAATCCAACTACATCCCCCGCTTTTCTTCAGTCCTTTTTCCTTCATTTGTTTTCTCGTGTGTAAGACATCTAACCATCTTCCAGCCGAAGCATAAACATTTGAGAGCAACACATATCCTTCGGGATGCTTTTCTGCCAACTCTGAAATCTTTTCGGCTACCCTTACTGCCATCCTCTCATTTCTGTATGTTTTGCAACCACTTAAGAGAGCTGCCCAGGCTTGAACGTCTGGTTCACAAGGCATGTCCAAGATGAACTTCTCTGCTTCAGAAAGGCGTCCTGAACGAGACAGCATGTCCACTACACAGGTATAATGTCTAGAATTCGGTTGTATATTATAGACCTTTTCCATTGAATTGAAGTAATGGAGTCCTTTATCTACAAGACCACAGTGGGAACAAGCAAATAAAACTGCTAAAAGAATAAGCTCATTAGGAGCAACGGACTTCGTCCGTTCAAATTCTTCAAATACAGGAAGTGCTTCCTCTGCAAAGCCGTTTTCTGCAAGCCCTTGAATCATAGCTGTCCAGGAAATCTCGTTACGTTTGGGCATCCTTTTGAAGATTTTCTTAGAGCTTTCAACATTACCCGATTTGGCATACATATCTAGAAGGGCAGTGTCCACGAAAACATCAGAGTGAAAGCCAAGTTTAATGACCTTACCATGCAAGTTCTTCCCCCTTTCTAATGAAGCTAAGCTCGCACAAGCACATAAAACACTAGAGAAAGTAGATTTATTTGGTTGTTCTCCAGACAGAAGCATGTCACTGAAAACTTCAAAAACTTCATCAAATTTTTCATACTCTAAATAACCTGTTATTAGCGAATTCCATGAAATATTATTTTTTTGGGGTATCTTGTCAAATAGCTCCTTAGCTTCTTCGAGTTGGTTATTGAGGCTATAACCACTGACCATTGAATTCCAACAAACAACGTTTTTCTCCAATATCGAGTCAAATGCTACACGTCCATCCTTAGAGCTTCCACATTTGCAGTACAGGTCAACCAGTGAGCTACCAATGAAAGCATCTTGTTCAATCCCAATTTTTAAAATATGTCCATGAACAATCCTTCCCGTTATCAAAGCTTCAAGGCTCGACAATGCACTTACTACGCTTGCTAAACACGACTTATTCGGTTTAAATCCCTGTTGGACCATGCAATAGAAGAGATTCACCGCCGCTTCTGCATCACCACTCTGACTGTACCTCGAGATCATTGTACTCCAAGAAACTTCATTTCTTTCTGGCATCTCATCAAAGACACGACGAGCTTCAGTTAAGTCTCCCTTCTGAACATACATGTCTAAAATCGCGGTCCAAGAAACGACATCTCTACTCTGCATCCTATCAAAAATTCTCCTTGCTGAAACAGTATCATTCAATCTCAAGTTAAACGTGATCAAAGAATTTGAAACTGACAAGTCATGTTCAAAACCAACCTTAACAATCAAACCCAATACACACGCTCCCAAATAAAAATCACTCAACTCTCCACACGCTCTAATAACAGAGGTAAAAGTGACATTATTGGGCATTACTCCAGATTGAAGCATCTCTACAAACAGCTTCATAGCTTTAAAACTCAAGCCATTTTGAACAAGCCCACTTATAGTTGCAGTCCAGGAAAACAGATTCTGAAATGGGTTTCTCTCAAAGTAGCAAATAGCCTCATCAACTTTTCCAAACCTCAAAAACCCCGAAATTATAGCAGTCCAAGAAACCTCATTTCTCTCAGGCATTTCATCAAACAGTCGACGAGCTTCATCCAGCTTTCCCCACTCAAGATTTGCAGTAATCAGACAATTATGCACAACTAAGTTGAACCCATCAAACTCCTTCAGCATCTGATCAATTTCCTTTGGTTTTCTGGATTTAAAGTACATAATAAGCAATTTAATGGCAATGTGTTTCTGAGAAGAAATGCCTGTTTTTATCAAATGCCCATGAAAAATGGTCCCTTGGACGATTAATCTTTCTTTAGTGATGTCGTTAAGGACTGAGACAATCTTGTTTACATTAGCTTTCACGTTTTTTCTTGAGTTAAACAGGAGAGACCTCAGAATACTTCGCATGCTGAATGCCAGGCCTAAACATTTAACGCATAATAGCATATAAAGTTGAAGAGTAGTTTATTAACTACATAAGAGATCAATTAAAAAGATATTATGATACATTAAAGATAAATTAACTATAAGATTACGAGATCAAGTAAGTCATTGCAGAGGTCAGACGCGGTATTTAAATTCTATGGGTTCAAACTTTTAAAGTTTTTAGCATTGAACTCATTATATTTTTAACGTTATGGGTTCATATCTACTATTTTGTACTTTTAATGAATTTTTACACATAAATTTTTACTCTACATCGAATGTTATGGGTTTAATCGAATCTAACGCTACCGTACTACATCTGCCCTGGCAGAAGATCGAATGTTATGGGTTTAATCGAATCCAACGCTACCGTACTACATCTGCCCCGGTAGAGGTCGGAGCTTATTAGAAATATAAGCATGGATAAAAATTTGATTCAACTATACTTCTTGGGTGAAAGGAACATATAATCACCAACTTAAAACTCAACTTAAATGGTAAGTACTTAAATGTCATTTTGGCGTTGGTTTATCATCTGGTACCTGCATTAGGCCTTATTAAATTTGAATGCGCACCGAAATGTCTAATATTGAGAATAAAGTACTACCTAACAAAGACAACTTATCATTCGATATACATACTCATAAGAATTAGAATTCAATTTTTAATCAATTATTTGTTTAAAACGAAATTGGTCTCAGTAGTAAACTAAGATAGTAAGATACGCAGAAGTAGCACCGTTAGCTTCATGATTTTATAATTAACAAAATACTGGTGTTACAAATATTGAAAGATGCATCCCTAATATCATTTATTGTTCCTTATGATTTTTGCTTATTTGCAAATATAATTTATTTTTTGCTCCTTATGATTTTTGCTTCTTTAGGTGGACACATATTGGAACTGTTTACCCGAAAAAACGGATGGAGTTGAATTTGTATATAGTTCTAAGGATATGTGATATAAATTAATACAAATCATAAGGATAAATAGATATATCAAATATGGATTGCAAAGAATGCAAAGTAAACAAGGTTGTAAAGAAGATGATTTTTAGGACTAAGCAAGTTGAATCAATTTATGAAGCTTAAAAGAATAACTCTTCAATATAGGAGAATATGATGTTTGAATTACAATGTAAGCCAAAAACTGCCCTCTACAAAAATGTAGTCATTCTCTTTATAGTGGAGGATCCTACTTTAGACATAATTAAAAATACATAGTGGAAAACACATAATAAATCAGTTTTTCCCTAATTTTCGCCAAGATTCTCTCCCTTAGTGTGTTTGCAACGGCTCTTGTCGGTGAGCTCGAGCTCGATCGGCCTCGGTGCTGGTCGGTATTGCTTCTGGAACTCGATATGGACTCGGGATCAGGTGATAATTCGGACTCGATCTCGGTTGGCATGTGCCCCTTAAGCTTGAAATCATCTCATCATAGTTCGATTCGGACCCGAGCTCGATAATGACTTCGAACTCGGTGTTTGATCTATACCCAAAATCTGAAGCTTTGTTTGTACCACCTTTGGAACCCATCTCGATATTACGAAATCTTTCTTTGATCCATTATGTTTCGACCCCGATCAATCGTACGAAGACCGAAATCTATTTCGACCGTATATAAATAGTCCCCTCGTTTCTCGGGAAGGACGTGGTGAGAAACGATATGATTTCTCAATGGCTCGATTGGATTATAAGCTGACGTTCACATTGGGCCCGATCATGACGCACGTGATAGTTGTCCCGTCGATTTAGTTTTTTAAGGCATTTAATGCATGTCAGACGGTGGTCGGCCACCGCTGATATTGAACCGTCATTGTTTCACTCTATAAATAGCCTTTCCGTCCGCCATTCATCACTTTTACTTCTTAAATCTTTAGAAAAAATTTCAAGTTCTTTTTAGTCTCTTCTGAGTTTATTCGCTGATCTTTGATTCTTTTCTGCAAAATTCTTCTTCTAAACCACCAAATCTTTGTTACCTTCTTTAAATCCAAAAATGGTGAAGACATCAAAAACCGTCCCCCAAAAAGAAAAAGCTTCTTCTTCCCAATCTGCCACCGACAAAACACCGGTGGATCCACGGCCTGAGGAGTGCGTTCTGGCGGCGTGTGTTCTTACCTCCGATTTCAAACTCGATAAAGGTTCGCCGGTTCCTGGCCGATGTGAGCCCGTATCGAGATATATTTGTTCGATAACCGGGGGGTATATCGAGCAAATAAAAAAAGATTGTAACTGGGGGAACAAAGAAGTGGTAGTACCGTCTCCCGAAGAGGATATTACTACTCACGTGAGAGGGTTTTTAAGTATGTACACTTACCCTTTCACGTTAGGTCCTCTCGACCCCGTTATCATAGATTTTTGTCGTAAATACCTAATAACCCTAGGCCAGATCCATCCTTCTTTTTGGCGGATCATTATTTTGATCTGATATTTTGTGAACAAAATCGAGGGGATGCCTTTCACCCTCGATCATCTCGTCTGATTGTACCATCCTCGCCTTTTTTGATGAGGGTTAATAAAACTTTAATGTCGAGCTACCAAGGCTCTGTTCTCGATCATAGACGAGGATAGGGATCGAGGCTGGATGGGCAGGTTCGTTCGAGTAAGGATTTCAGACCTGATTCCGACCGAAAATATGCCTTTTTCCGAGAGTGGAACATGAAGCGTAAGTGTAATTCTGTTGTTATCTCCTACTATTTTGTTCTTTTATTTTCTTTCTCACCGATATTCCCCCTTTTGTGATGCAGCGATTCCCTGGATGCCCGGCGCAGTGTCCGATCTCAATAACTGGGTACGGGATCTGATTTCAACCTCCTTATACGCCGAGCGCTCATGGCGTGACTTGTCAAAGGGCCGATGGGAGGCCAAAAATCATGGTAAGCCATTTTCTCGTATTTTTTGGTAGTTCGAACAAGATATTTTTCATACACTTTAATAAAATTTCCCGCATGTAGGTGTGGGCATAGATGCAGTTTTAAGGCCCTCGTCCGTCGAGGAAGAGGCTTCAGCCTATGTCCCAAAGCCGATGAAAGATAATAAGAGGAAAAGAGCCCTCGTTCCCGAAGATCGAAAACCGAAGAAGAGGATGGCTCGTAAGCCGAACAAAAATACCATTCCTTTGAACGTAGAATCAGTTCTGCGTCTGAGGGAAGAAGAAGAAGAAGAAGAAGAAGAAGAAAACAATAGGTCCGCTCTGGCGTCCCGAACGAAGAAGACCACAGACATTCCACAGGCAGCTGGATCGATGGTGGTCTATAAGGCTCCGCCTCGAACTGAGGATATATCGGAGAAAGATTCGGGCAGTCCACGAGTTGTTGGAGATCAAAGATGCTTCCCATCGAAGCCAACGGATGGGGGATATGTCTGAAGGGGCTCTCCCCCAATCTCTTCAAACCGAAGAGAATGCTCCAAGTGATTCAGTTGGGGTAGTAGCAATCGAAGACTCACCCACCTTCCCTGCTTTTTTCGCGGGGGCGATTCGAGAAGCCCAAGCTTTGGGGGCCCTCGAACTAGATAGGCCTCATGATGGAGAGGATCCATTTCGTGACCTGTTTACCGGTGTCGAGGACGCTACCGGTCCAAGTGACGCATCAGATCTTTTTCACGGAGTGAAGCAGGCTTTGAATCAGGTAAGCCTTGAATTATTTGGCATTACATTTATGTTTGCTTTTCTTTTCTAACTTCGTTTCTTCTTTCATTGCAGGACGCGGCAATTTATCGAGAAGCATCTTCTCGGTTCCGAACTGAGCTGCGTCGATATGAGGCCGACCTTCAACGGGTTACGGAGGAGAGGAACTCCCTTAAACTCCTCTTAGGGCAAAAGGGAGAGGAAATAAAAGACCTCTGAGTTGAGTTAGCCAAGGCTTACCAAGATCAGACCGATCTGTCCGAGCAGGTAATGATACTTTTAAAAGCCTATGGGCTCGATACCGGAACGATGGCTAATTTTTCGGTCTAATAGCTGCAGCAGAAAATTGAGATGATCGGGAAACTCCGTAAGGAGGTCGATGAGATAAAAGCGGAGTCTTTGAAGTGGAAAGAAGGTATGGACCACTTTGCTGCAGAGAAAGAAACTGCTCGATCTTAATTATCATCGGCCGAAAACCAACTTCAAAATGTGAAGGAGAAAAGTTATTCAAGCGAGAAAAATAGAGGAGCTCGAGGCTCGGTTGGCCTCTGAACTTGCCAAGGCCGAATCCAACACCGAAAAGGCAAAGGCTGATGCGGATGCACTCGTGGTCGTATATCGGGCCGACGCTGAAGCTACCTAGGTCCAAGCAAGAGAGGCAGCTGAGACCGCCGATACTCGAGCACATTGGGTCGCTAAACTTGCTAAGTGTCGATCTCGGAGGGAAACCCTCGAGGAGATCCATGCTTGATATTTCGATCTCGCTGAAGAGATAAAAAGGGCTAAAGAACTTGAAGCTGATTGTGAAGCCTTGGCTTCCGATGATGATGATGATGACGATGATGGGAGTAAGAGCGGGTCCGAGAACGGAGGGGAGCCCGTTGGAGAAGAGACCGCTCTCGGAGATAACCAAGAAACATAGCCCTTAGTTTCTATGTTGTAATCAATCGTGTAAACAATCTTATATATATATAATAGATTTTTCTTTTGCCAACTTGCTTCTGTTTTATTTTCTGACTTGTGAAGATTTTATTCATGACTTATGAATGTTTTCACAGGGATTTAGGCAATTCGATCGAATTTGGACTTCGTAGCCTTTATAACCAAGTGAGCGCTTACTCAAACTTGAAATAAGGTAGCTCATAGGCTTAGTAGTCGAATTGAGTGATTGTTTGAATTTGAAGTGATGTAGCCCTTAGGCTTATTAGTTGAGTGAGTGATTCGAACTTGAAGTAATATAGCCCGTAGGTGTAATGATCGAGTGAGTGCTTGCTTGAACTCAAAATAAAAATAGCTCATAGGCTTAGTAGTTAAGTGAATGTTTCAAACTCGAAGTGATGTAGCCCGTAGGCATAATGGTCGAGTGAGTGCTTGCTCGAACTCGAAATAGAAGTAGCTCGTAGG